ATTTATTTATTTTAAATTAAATTAAATTAATTATTTTGTATTTTTTGCAGTAAAAACAGAACTTCCTGACTCGGACTGTGATGTTGGACCTAAACCAGGACCAGTTGGTCCAGTTTGTCTTTAAACCCCACTGAGTCCGAGATGTCCTCCCGAACCTCGGTCCGTTCAGAACATCTGGGTTCTGATGGATCCGAGGGGATTGCAGAACCAGATCTGGACTAAAAACCCGTCCGGAACCTGCAGCCACAGGTCCGGATCCTCCGGACTTACCTTTGCTGGTAGGCGGAGATGCCCTGCACGCTCTGCGGGGTTCCGTTGGTGGCTCCGGGTACCTGGACCGGGACCCGACCCACCGGGGGTCCGGTCACCATGCCTCCGCCTCCTCCTCCGCTCCCGGTCCCGGATCCTCCGGCCGCAGAAGCGGTCACCTGGACGCTGAAATCCGGGAAGATCCTGATCATGGTCCTGGTCTCCGGTGCGCTCCCGGGTCTAGAACCGGACTGCTTTACTGGGTCTGCTCGGGTCGAACCGGTTCTTGATGGAGCGCGGATCTAAAGTGAAATCAGGTTCTTAGATTTTGTTCTCTTCTGGACTAACCTTCGGACCGGACTCTGTGGACCCGGGTCATGTTGGTTCCGGAGCAGAAATCAGAAAATAAAATCTGATTAAAGAAGAAAAACAAGAAAAACTAAAACATTTAAAAACATTTTCTTCTTTTTCTTTTTCAGTCTGCACTTCACAGATTCAGATGTCGGTTCTGGTCCCGGTTCTGGTCCCGGTCCTGGTCTCCTGCGCGCTGCGCTCAACAAACAGCTGATCCACAGATCAGGTCCGGAGCCTCCWGTTCACACCGGACCTCCCTGACAGAACAGCATCCCGTCCCCGGCTCTCCGGACCAGAACCGGCTGCAGGTGTCTGAGTGAGGAGGGGTCCGCGGGTCCGCGGGTCAGGGACAGAGGTTCGGTCCGGATCCAGCAGCGCCCGGAGTGTGTCGGTATGTGTGCGAGCAGCTGCGGGTTCGTCCTCACAAAGNTGTAAAAACACAAACATGTAAAAGCACAAACATGTAGAAACACAAACATGTAAAAACACAAACGTAGAAACACAAACGTAGAAACACAAACATGTAAAAACACAAACGTAGAAACACAAACATGTAAAAACACAAACATAGAAATACAAACATGTAAAAACACAAACATGTAGAAACACAAACATGTAGAAACACAAACATGTAGAAACACAAACATGTAAAAACACAAACATGTAGAAACACAAACATGTAGAAACACAAACATGTAGAAACACAAACATGTAGAAACACAAACATGTAGAAACACAAACATGTAAAAACACAAATGTAGAAACAAAAACATGTAGAAATACAAACATGTAAACACAAACATATAAAAACACAAACATGTAAAAACACAAACGTAGAAACACAAACATGTAGAA